CCAGGTGTGGAGAATGACCACCAGTGTCTGCCCCAGGTGTGGAGGAGTGTCTGCCCCAGGTGTGGATGACCACCAGTGTCTGCCCCAGGTGTGGAGTGTGACCCACCAGTGTCTGCCCCAGGTGTGGATTGTGACCCACAGTGTCTGCCCCAGGTGTGGAGTGTGACCCACCAGTGTCTGCCCCAGGTGTGGAGTATGACCACCAGTGTCTGCCCCAGGTGTGGAGTGTGACCCACCAGTGTCTGCCCCAGGTGTGGAGTGTGACCCACCAGTGTCTGCCCCAGGTGTGGAGTGTGACCCACCAGTGTCTGCCCCAGGTGTGGAGTGTGACCCACAGTGTCTGCCCCAGGTGTGGAGTGTGACCACCAGTGTCTGCCCCAGGTGTGGAGTATGACCACCAGTGTCTGCCCCAGGTGTGGAGTGTGACCCACCAGTGTCTGCCCCAGGTGTGGAGTGTGACCCACCAGTGTCTGCCCCAGGTGTGGAGTGTGACCCACCAGTGTCTGCCCCAGATGTGGAGTGTGACCCACAGTGTCTGCCCCAGGAGAGGAGTGTGACCACCAGTGTCTGCCCCAGGTGTGGAGTATGACCACCAGTGTCTGCCCCAGGTGTGGAGTGTGACCCACCAGTGTCTGCCCCAGGTGTGGAGTGTGACCACCAGTGTCTGCCCCAGGTGTGGAGTATGACCACCAGTGTCTGCCCCAGGTGTGGAGTGTGACCCACCAGTGTCTGCCCCAGGTGTGGAGTGTGACCCACAGTGTCTGCCCCAGGTGTGGAGTGTGACCACCAGTGTCTGCCCCAGGTGTGGAGTGTGACCCACAGTGTCTGCCCCAGGTGTGGAGTGTGACCACCAGTGTCTGCCCCAGGTGTGGATTGTGACCCACAGTGTCTGCCCCAGGTGTGGAGTGTGACCACCAGTGTCTGCCCCAGGTGTGGAGTGTGACCACCAGTGTCTGCCCCAGGTGTGGATTGTGACCCACCAGTGTCTGCCCCAGGTGTGGAGTGTGACCACCAGTGTCTGCCCCAGGTGTGGATTGTGACCCACAGTGTCTGCCCCAGGTGTGGAGTGTGACCCACCAGTGTCTGCCCCAGGTGTGGATTGTGACCCACAGTGTCTGCCCCAGGTGTGGATTGTGACCCACCAGTGTCTGCCCCAGGTGTGGAGTGTGACCACCAGTGTCTGCCCCAGGTGTGGAGTGTGACCACCAGTGTCTGCCCCAGGTGTGGAGTGTGACCCACAGTGTCTGCCCCAGGTGTGGAGTATGACCACCAGTGTCTGCCCCAGGTGTGGAGTGTGACCCACCAGTGTCTGCCCCAGGTGTGGAGTGTGACCCACAAGTGTCTGCCCCAGGTGTGGAGTGTGACCCACAGTGTCTGCCCCAGGTGTGGAGTGTGACCCACAGTGTCTGCCCCAGGTGTGGAGAATGACCACCAGTGTCTGCCCCAGGTGTGGAGTGTGACCACCAGTGTCTGCCCCAGGTGTGGATTGTGACCCACCAGTGTCTGCCCCAGGTGTGGAGTGTGACCACCAGTGTCTGCCCCAGGTGTGGAGTGTGACCCACCAGTGTCTGCCCCAGGTGTGGAGTGTGACCCACCAGTGTCTGCCCCAGGTGTGGAGTGTGACCCACAGTGTCTGCCCCAGGTGTGGAGTGTGACCCACAGTGTCTGCCCCAGGTGTGGAGTATGACCACCAGTGTCTGCCCCAGGTGTGGAGTGTGACCCACCAGTGTCTGCCCCAGGTGTGGAGTGTGACCCACAGTGTCTGCCCCCAGTGTCTGCCCCAGGTGTGGAGTGTGACCCACAGTGTCTGCCCCAGGTGTGGAGTGTGACCCCACACAGTGTCTGCCCCAGGTGTGGAGAATGACCACCAGTGTCTGCCCCAGGTGTGGAGTGTGACCACCACTGTCTGCCCCAGGTGTGGAGTGTGACCCACAGTGTCTGCCCCAGGTGTGGAGTATGACCACCAGTGTCTGCCCCAGGTGTGGATTGTGACCCACAGTGTCTGCCCCAGGTGTGGAGTGTGACCCACCAGTGTCTGCCCCAGGTGTGGAGTGTGACCACCAGTGTCTGCCCCAGGTGTGGAGTGTGACCCACAGTGTCTGCCCCAGGTGTGGATTGTGACCCACCAGTGTCTGCCCCAGGTGTGGAGTGTGACCCACCAGTGTCTGCCCCAGGTGTGGATTGTGACCCACAGTGTCTGCCCCAGGTGTGGAGTGTGACCCACCAGTGTCTGCCCCAGGTGTGGAGTGTGACCCACCAGTGTCTGCCCAAGGTGTGGAGAATGACCACCAGTGTCTGCCCCAGGTGTGGAGTGTGACCCACTGCCCCAGTGTGGAGTGTGACCCACCAGTGTCTGCCCCAGGTGTGGAGTGTGACCCACCAGTGTCTGCCCCAGGTGTGGAGTGTGGCCCACCAGTGTCTGCCCCAGGTGTGGAGTGTGACCCACCAGTGTCTGCCCCAGGTGTGGAGTGTGACCCACCAGTGTCTGCCCCAGGTGTGGATTGTGACCCACCAGTGTCTGCCCCAGGTGTGGAGTGTGACCCACCAGTGTCTGCCCCAGGTGTGGAGTGTGACCCACCAGTGTCTGCCCCAGGTGTGGAGTGTGACCCAGGTGTGGAGTGTGACCCACCAGTGTCTGCCCCAGGTGTGGAGTGTGACCCACCAGTGTCTGCCCCAGGTGTGGAGTGTGACCCACCAGTGTCTGCCCCAGGTGTGGAGTGTGACCCCCAGTGTCTGCCCCAGGTGTGGAGTGTGACCCACCAGTGTCTGCCCCAGGTGTGGAGTGTGACCCACAGTGTCTGCCCCAGGTGTGGAGTGTGACCCACAGTGTCTGCCCCAGGTGTGGAGTGTGACCCACAGTGTCTGCCCCAGGTGTGGAGTGTGACCACCAGTGTCTGCCCCAGGTGTGGAGTGTGACCCACCAGTGTCTGCCCCAGGTGTGGAGTGTGACCCACCAGTGTCTGCCCCAGGTGTGGAGTGTGACCCACCAGTGTCTGCCCCAGGTGTGGAGTGTGACCCACCAGTGTCTGCCCCAGGTGTGGAGTGTGACCCACCAGTGTCTGCCCCAGGTGTGGAGTGTGACCCACCAGTGTCTGCCCCAGGTGTGGAGTGTGACCCACAGTGTCTGCCCCAGGTGTGGAGTGTGGACCACCAGTGTCTGCCCCAGGTGTGGAGTGTGACCCACCATTGTCTGCCCCAGGTGTGGATTGTGACCACCAGTGTCTGCCCCAGGTGTGGAGTGTGACCCACCAGTGTCTGCCCCAGGTATGGAGTGTGACCCACCAGTGTCTGCCCTAAGGGTGGAGTGTGACTCACAGTGTCAGTGTCTGCCCCAGTGTCTGCCCCAGGTGTGGAGTGTGACCCACAGTGTCTGCCCCAGGTGTGGAGTGTGACCCACCAGTGTCTGCCCCAGGTGTGGAGTGTGACCACCAGTGTCTGCCCCAGGTGTGGAGTGTGACCCCAGTGTCTGCCCCAGGTGTGGAGTGTGACCCACCAGTGTCTGCCCAGGTGTGGAGTGTGACCCACCAGTGTCTGCCCCAGGTGTGGAGTGTGACCCACAGTGTCTGCCCCAGGTGTGGAGTGTGACCCACAGTGTCTGCCCCAGGTGTGGAGTGTGACCCACTGCCCCAGTGTCTGCCCCCAGGTGTGGAGAATGACCACCAGTGTCTGCCCCAGGTGTGGAGAATGACCACCAGTGTCTGCCCCAGGTGTGGAGTGTGACCCACCAGTGTCTGCCCCAGGTGTGGAGTGTGACCACCAGTGTCTGCCCCAGGTGTGGAGTGTGACCCACCAGTGTCTGCCCCAGGTGTGGAGTGTGACCCACCAGTGTCTGCCCCAGGTGTGGAGTGTGACCCACCAGTGTCTGCCCCAGGTGTGGATTGTGACCCACCAGTGTCTGCCCCAGGTGTGGAGTGTGACCCACCAGTGTCTGCCCCAGGTGTGGAGTGTGACCACCAGTGTCTGCCCCAGGTGTGGATTGTGACCCACCAGTGTCTGCCCCAGGTGTGGAGTGTGACCCACCAGTGTCTGCCCCAGGTGTGGAGTGTGACCCACAGTGTCTGCCCCAGGTGTGGAGAATGACCACCAGTGTCTGCCCCAGGTGTGGAGTGTGACCACCACTGTCTGCCCCAGGTGTGGAGTGTGACCCACCAGTGTCTGCCCCAGGTGTGGAGTGTGACCACCACTGTCTGCCCCAGGTGTGGAGTGTGACCCACCAGTGTCTGCCCCAGGTGTGGAGTGTGACCCACCAGTGTCTGCCCCTGGTGTGGAGTGTGACCCACAGTGTCTATCCCAGGTGTGGAGTGTGACCCACCAGTGTCTGCCCCAGGTGTGGATTGTGACCCACAGTGTCTGCCCCAGGTGTGGAGTGTGACCCCACAGTGTCTGCCCCAGGTGGGGAGTGTGAACCACTATTGTCTGCCCAGGTGTGGAGTATGACCACCAGTGTCTGCCCCAGGTGTGGAGTGTGACCCACAGTGTCTGCCCCAGGTGTGGAGTATGACCACCAGTGTCTGCCCCAGGTGTGGATTGTGACCCACAGTGTCTGCCCCAGGTGTGGAGTGTGACCACCAGTGTCTGCCCCAGGTGTGGAGGATGACCACCAGTGTCTGCCCCAGGTGTGGAGAGTGATCCACCAGTGTCTGCCCCAGGTGTGGAGCACGACCCACCAATATGGAGGGCGTAACATATAACCAAGCTGGATAAAGTCGAGTAATAATTGATGAGACCAGTACCAGAGACGAGGGGAATGAGCTATGAGGAAGGACTGAAGAACTCCACCATCACATAAAAGGCTTCACTAGTAGAAACTGTCCAAATATATTTTATAATAAACAATACAAAGTTTAATTTTTAAAACTTATAATATAAAAAAAATTTCAATAAAATTTACAGTTAATAAATAAAATGTATTTCTTCAGCGACAGAATAGTGACCATTTTAAGGTACAACAGACAAAAAAAAAAGACAAAAAAATATTTATTTGGACTTTTGTTACATACTTGATAATGATGTACAGAAATTTTAACACGACCCATGTTGCTGTCAAGCACGTGTTGGCGTCCGTCAAGCACGTGTTGGCGTCCGTCAAGCACGTGTTGGCGTCCGTCAAGCACGTGTTGGCGTCCGTCAAGCACGTGTTGGCGTCCTTCAAGCACGTGTTGGCGTCCTTCAAGCACGTGTTGGCGTCCGTCAAGCACGTGTTGGCGTCCGTCAAGCACGTGTTGGCGTCCGTCAAGCACGTGTTGGCGTCCGTCAAGCACATGGCGTCCGTCAAGCACGTGATGGCGTCCGTCAAGCACGTGTTGGCGTCCTTCAAGTACGTGTTGGCGTCCGTCAAGCACGTGTTGGCGTCCGTCAAGCACGTGTTGGCGTCCGTCAAGCACGTGTTGGCGTCCGTCAAGCACGTGTTGGCGTCCGTCAAGCACGTGTTGGCGTCCGTCAAGCACGTGTTGGCGTCCGTCAAGCACGTGTTGGCGTCCGTCAAGCACGTGTTGGCGTCCGTCAAGCACGTGTTGGCGTCCGTCAAGCACGTGTTGGCGTCCGTCAAGCACGTGTTGGCGTCCGTCAAGCACGTGTTGGCGTCCGTCAAGCACGTGTTGGCGTCCGTCAAGCACGTGTTGGCGTCCGTCAAGCACGTGTTGGCGTCCGTCAAGCACGTGTTGGCGTCCGTCAAGCACGTGTTGGCGTCCGTCAAGCACATGATGGCGTCCGTAAAGCACGTGTTGGCGTCCGTAAAGCACGTGTTGGCGTCCGTCAAGCACGTGTTGGCGTCCGTCAAGCACGTGTTGCGTCCGTCAAGCACGTGTTGCGTCCGTCAAGCACGTGTTTGCGTCCGTCAAGCACGTGTTGGCGTCCGTCAAGCACGTGTTGGCGTCTTTGGCGACCTTGGCTCACTTGAAGGTGATGCCAATGTCTCTGGCGTGACTCTGGATCCACTGGTTCATCTCCGCCTCCAGCTGTGGTGAGAAGTGGTTCCTCCAGTCTCCCACGATGCCTGCCGAACCAACAGACAGGTTGTTCTCATAAAATAGGTGCCACTCACCCCTGCTACACCCACACACAGGTGCAATAGGTGCCACTCACCCCTGCTACACCCACACACAGGTGCAATAGGTGCCACTCACCCCCGCTACACCCACACACAGGTGCAATAGGTGCCACCCACCCCCGCTACACCCACACACAGGTACAATAGGTGCTACTCACCCCTGCTACACCCACACACAGGTACAATAGGTGCCACTCACCCCCACTACACCCACACACAGGTGCAATAGGTGCCATTCACCCCCCCCCCACACACACACACACCTACACATATGTTATTATGGGTGATTATGGCTAGTGATTTTATGAGAGTTTCTTCCAAAAATCAAAGTTTCTGTGTGTGTTAAATATCCACCAATGTATAGGAGATAAATAAACAATAATAAATCACTAGTACTACATCTAACAAACATACATACATACATACATACATACATACATACACACATACATACATACCTTTCCTTCACTTAGGCACTAGGAGACTACCATCCCCACAGTGTGAGGTGTAAACTCTTCCACAGAGCTGTCATGGTAGGACCTCACGCACATGTATACACCCCCTCCCTGCCACCCATACATGCAGCACAACTACTTCCACCCGACACCTCCCCTCAACACCCACACACACATGCACCACGCCACACCCACGCCACACCCACGACCACGGGTATGAGTGATCACAGTATCTGGTCGAAGAAGGGTTAATGTACTCAAGGAAACGACCAGAAAGCAAGAGGCCGGCATTCTGGATGGTAAACTATGAGGAGATAAGAAAATTCCAAACTCAGCAGAGCTCAGAAGAAAGACGGTTCAAGACATGATGGACTACATCACACAGAAGTGTAAGGATGCAGCAGACAAGTTCGTCCCAGTCCAAAAGGAAAAAAAAATTGAATGCAGATGAGAAACCCATGGTTTAATCAGAGATGTAAGCTAGCAAAGCAACTAAGTATAAGGGCGTGGAGAAACTATAGAAGCAACAAAACACTAGAGAACAGAGAAAGATATCAAAGCGCCAGGAATGAATACGTCAGGGAGAGAAGAGAGGTAAAGAGGCAATATGAAAATGACATAGCGAGCAAGGCAAAGACAAAACCCAAACTGCTGCATAGCCACATCAGGAGGAAAACAACAGTAAAGGAAGATTGCAGAAAGATTCACAACAAACGACAAGGAACTGTGCGAGGAACTCAATAAGAAATTACAGGTTTTCACCTCAGAGCAAGGAGACATCCCAGAGATAAGAGAGGGAATATCAAACCAAACACCATTAGAGGTGTATGTGATTACCAGTGGGGAGGTGAGGAAGCATCTGCTAGATTTGGATGTGACAAAGGCCATAGGCCCGGATGGAATCTCACCATGGATACTAAAGGAAGGAGCAGAGGCACTGTGCCTGCCACTCTCCATCTATATAAATAAAAATGGAAATGTGTGTTTGTGCATAACTACTAATCTCCAAAAGTTCTTCACCAATTGCTTTGAAATTTTCACACAACGTTCCATTCAAATCCGAGCAAGTTTTCATATATATACTATATAGATAGTATATATATATAGTATATATATATACTATATGTAAAAAACTGTGTTTTTTGTGTTTTTCATGTGAGGGAAACCTTTGAAACCTCTTTACCGATTGCTTTCAAATTTTGACACAACGTTGCATTCGAATAGGCGCGTCTTTATACCTACTATATAAATGCCACGCCTCTGACAGGTAAAAACATGCGTTTTTGAAAAACAGCGCCATCTGTTGCACATAATAGCAACATGCGTGCTATACTAAATATGCCACGAATTCCATTTCAATGTTTCTTATTGCATTGATAAATTTTATTTTCATAGATTTCGATTTATTTTATTTTTTATTGAATTATTTTTTGTGACATTGTGTTGGAATTGAGCTGTGTTATTTACCATACCGTTCATTTCGTAAGTATAAGTATAGATGCCACACCTGTGACAGGTAAAACAATGCTTTTCTTGAAAAACAGCGCCATCTGTTGCATGTAGAAGCAACACACATGTTATACTAAATATGTTATAATTCCATTTCAATGTTTCTGATTGCACTGATAAATTGAATTTTCCTAGATTTTGATTTATTTTATTTTGATTTAATTATTTTGTGTGAATTGCGTTGGAATTGAGCTGTGTTGTTTACCATACCGTTCATTTCGTGAGTATAGTTTTTTTTCATATTTTCATTTAATTTTTTAACTGTTTTTCTTATATTTCAGTGATGGAAACATCAGATCACTTGATGTTCCCAATTTTCTGATGGGAACATCAGACCATTTGGGAAGGCATTGGACGAGGGAGTCGGGAATGGTGGGGATGACGAGGGGATAAGGGAAGGGGTAATGGTGGGGAAGGACGAGGGGACAGGGGAGTTTGGGATGGTGGGGACGAGGGGACAGGGGAGTTTGGGATGGTGGGGACGAGGGGACAGGGGAGTTTGGGATGGTGGGGACGAGGAGATGGGGGAATGGAGAATGGTGGGGACGACAAAGGGACAGGGGAATGGGTCCTTGAGGAAGGAAAAGGGGATGGTGGAGTGGGGAATGGTCGGGAAGACGAGGAGACGGGTGAAGGGGGAATGTTGGGGAGGACTGGGGGAACGGGAAGGTTGCTGTGGCTCAGCAACACACATGCATTACTGAGCCACAGCAACACGTGGCCGGGTACTGCTAGTAATGTATAACAAATCACTGGCAACAGATGAACTGCCAAAAATTTGGTAGACGGCCAATGTAGTCCCAATAAACTAGAAGGGTGATAGTCAGGAGGCACTGAACTACAGGCCAGTGTCCCTAACTTGCATTCCATGCAAGTTGATGGAGAAGATTGTGCGAAAAAAAGTTAGTAGAACATCTAGAGCGAAAGAACTTTGTAACACAACATCAGCATGGGTTCAGAGATGGCAAATCATGCCTAACAGGTTGAATTGAGTTCTATGACCAGGCAACAAAAATTAGGCAAGAGAGAGAGAGAGCTTGGCAAACTGCATATTTCTAGTCTGCCAGAAAGCCTTTGACATAGTACCACATAAGGGAATAGTGCACAAACTGGAGATGCAGGCAGGAGTGAAAGGGAAGATACTCCACTGGATAAGGGAGTACCTAAGAAACAGGACACAGCGAGTCACTAGGAGGGGTGAGGTCTTGGAGTGGCGGCGAGTCACCAGTGGAGTCCCACAGGGATCAGTCCTTGGACCTTTACTGTTTCTGATATACGTAAATGATCTCCCAGAAGGAATTTACTGGTTCCTCTCGATGTTTGCTGATGATGCAAAAATTATGAGGAGGATCAAGACGAACAAGAAGATAGTATGAAGCTTCAAGATGACCTAGACAAACTGAAGGAATGGTGCAACAAATGGCTACTAAAGTTCAACCTAAGTAAATGTAAGGTAATGAGACTAGGAGGAGGAGAAACTAGGAGGCCAGTCACTAGATACCGAATGGGAAATAAAGTCCTTCACGAAACGGACAGAGAGAAAGATCTAGGAGTTGATATCACGCCAAACCTGTCTCCTGAAGCCTAAATCAAAGAATAAGATCAGCGGCCCATGCGAGGCTGGCTAAGATCAGACCTACTTTCAAAAACTTGTGTAAGGAATCCTTCAGAACCTTGTATACCAAAATGTAAGACCAATCCTGGAGTATGCAGCCCCAGCATGGAGCCCGTACCTAATCAAGCACAAGACAAAGCTGGAAAAAGTTCAGAGGTATGCCACTAGGCTAGTCCCAGAACAAAGAGGCATGAGTTATGAGGACAGGCTGCGTGAACTGCACCTCACGACGCTGGAAGACAGAAGAGCTAGGGGAGACATGATCACCACATACAAAATTCTCAACGGGAATTGACAGGGTAGACAAGGATGGATTATTTAACACGGGTGGTACACGCACAAGGAAGTAAGTAAGTAATTATCAAAAGAAGGCACCAAACCGGGAAGGCTATGTAGCACCATCAAATACGCAAAATAATCAGAGGGCGCTAAATATCACCAAGGATGCCAATACGAGAACAAAAACGCATAAGGCGAACGATATCAAAAGTATCCGAGTCACCAAGAATTCTATCGAGGGACAGGTGACCGCGAGGGGCGGTCGGAAAGCAAGACACACGCTCGTCCTGGAAGTCAGGACATTCAAGAAGGACATGCACGACCGTAAGAGGGACAATGCAACTAGGACAATAAGGAGCAGGGCGGCGCTCCATCAAGTGACCATGGGTTAAGCGAGTATGGCCAATACGCAACCTCGCCAGAGCTGTTTCCCACCGCCGGTTACGGTGGAAGGAGGACGGCCACGAGGAAACACAACATTTAAGAGTACGTAGCTTGTTACCAGTAACAGACAACCAAGAAGCCTGCCAACGGGTAAGGACTGAGGAATGGATAACCGGGTAAAAGTCGGAATACGGAATGCCTTTACGAGAGATGGGACAAGAGCGGACAGCTTCCTTGGCGGCAGCATCCGCACGCTCATTTAAAGACACACCAATATGGCTGGGAACCCAACAAAACTCAACCGACTTAAATTTACTGTGAACAAGAAACAGCCAATGCTGGATCTCGACAACTACTGGATGAACCGGATTAAAGGACCCGAGAGCCATGAGGGCACTACGAGAGTCAACAACAACTACAAAGGAAGACTGACAACGAGAAAGCAGGAGACGAAGAGCATAGAGAATAGCATAAAGTTCCGCTGTAAAGATGCTAGTCTCCGGAGGCAAGCGACACATATAAGTGCGATCAGGAAAAACAACAGAGTAGCCAACACCGTCCGCTGACTTAGACCCATCGGTGAAGACAGAAACGGAGCGGGAGTGAGAAGAAAAGTGCTCGAGGAAAAGGCGTTTTAGAACCGTAGGAGGGGTAAAAGCTTTAGTGATACGGGTCAAGGATGTACAAAACCGCGGAAGAGGGAC